GTTTTACACCAGGCAGTGCTATTTGGTTTAGATAATGAAAAATAGTATTTTTCTATACATAAGGGTCTGCTGATTTCTTTTTAGAGAGAAGAACTGACGTGATCACCAATTCCTTTCTCTCTAGTTAACCATACACCACTAAACTTAAACACACTGAATGGGTCTTCAGGAAATAGTAACTCCCTGTTCAATTTGTTTTCTTACACTCTTAACAAAATGCAACTAATTTTCTTCTTGACAGCTTCCCTAACATTTTTTTTGTGGGCATATATGGACCAATGAATGCATTAAATAAATGTAATAATCAATTTAATAGAATCTGTTCTTTAAACAAATTGGCCACTTGTACTTCCTCAATAGTATACAGGATTTAGCTTCTTTGAACACTGTATCTTAACCAGGCTGTTGGAATAAATCTGAAGTTAGAAGACAAAAAAAAATATGCAAGACTTACAAAATCTAGATGCACAGCTAACTCATGTTAATTTTAAAATATATTAAAATTTGGCATGCATTCTAATTCAAGAATAAGAATCTAGCAAGAAATGGATATTAGATTTCCCTCATGTGGTTGCAGAATGTTACGATCAGCTGTTAACTGGGATAGAAAGTAACATTCTGTCTTCCTCTTTGGCCCCTAAAGATGAAATAAGGGTTGGGAGGAGTTGTTTTTTTTTTAATGCACACAGAAACACGCAGCTACCTTTCATGTTTTAAGTATCCTCTGAAAAGGCAGCTTAACAACTCAGCAAAGTCAACAGTCTAGATTTAAGAAGTATCACAAGCCACAAACAGAATCATACAAGTTAAAATATTTGCCAGCTAGATATTTTCTAAATGCAAAAAAAATCGTAACTGATCTTATGGCTCGAGCAAGGAGAGAGTTCCACTGACTTCCAACATAACTGGTGCTGATATGGCAGGGATTTAAATGCTTGTATCTACTTAACCCCGTGACAGCAAACAGATTTCCTGTTTCTGCACTGGTAGTCATTCAGAATTTTAAGCTGGGGAACAGCTGTCAGTGACTGGGTGAAAGAAAAACTTAGCTCTACTTCAGCAGCTCTGTCCTATCACTTAATAAAAAGATGAGTAAGAACTAAGTAATAAACTGTAGTTTGGGTACAGCTAAATATTCATGGCTATTTATTTAAGTGTTTATGAAGTGCTGGAACTCTACAGGAGAATATTAAATGGAAAGAGCATCTTGCAAGTTTTCATAAGATTCTTCACATTTCTGTCCTTCATATGGATGTATCACTTAAACCATACATTTTCTTTAAACCATATGCAAGGAAAAATTCAGTTGATCTAAGAAAACCAGTCTTAAAATTAAGGAGCCAGAAAGAGAAGTGAGATATCTCTTGAAGTCCTATGTAGTTACTGTTACAGATAAGTAAGAGTGACCTAAACATGTTTAGTTTGAAATTCAATAGCAGTCATGCAAAATTAACACACTATTGTGAGCATATTGTAGCACACTTGAAGAGAACTGGTACATATTATTAGCTCTGCTGTAGTAATATCTGTCAGTCACACTAGTGCACGTGTGGAAGGGAGGCAGCCCAGTTACTGAGAGAAGTGTAGGCTTCTCAAAGCCTCATTTGCAGATCCTCCAGTTTTAGCTACGAAAGCATTATCAGAGCAAGGCAGAAGTTTTGCTGGATTTTGCAGACTCAGCTAACTATGTATGTGAGATTTTGTTCATCAAAACAAGACATTAAAAACATACTAAAGTACAGCTCAATAGAATTATGCATTAGGTTGTAAGCCAACTAAAAAACAGGTTCAAAGTTCTACAACAGGCTACAAGATCCTACTTAGTAATTCAGTTTAGCCCATGTAAAAAGTGCAAACGTGTGGTATCCTCCAATTAAATCAACCTCGGCATTTCCTGAAAAGAAAAACAGACCAAATCCCCAGACAATTCATACTGGCTTCCAATACCATCCTACATCCACACCCTATTTTGTGAGACTTTTGGGACAGAGCTAGGAAGTCATGCAGAGTGACAAATTACAGTTGCTACTACAACACTACCATGACAAACCACTTTAGTGATAATTTACAAAACCTACTTCAGAAGTGACTGTGCTAAGAACACCAAAGCTTGCACTGACCTATTTATAATTCAAGTACTATATTCCATGACAAAGAGGTTTTAGAGAAAATGAACACACACAGTCCAGGGGGTCCTCATAAGACAAAGCAGATTTCAGCCTTCTCTCAGTTTCCTAGATCTCCACAGTTGCAGAAGTGCCATTTGTGTAGCCACCTTTAGATTTCATGTGGTCCTGAATCGATACAGCCTAGAAAAAAGGTTTATTACAACATGCATCCTGTAAAGTCAGGTTGAAAGAACAATTATTCAAAGCATCAATTTAAAGAAGCAGGTGAGCCATATGTTTACAGTGTTACAGGGAGAAATAACAACTGAATCCAAGATTGTTAAATACTCTTTTAACTCAGTGCATGAGATGTGTCTTGCTGTCCAAAATCCACTTATTTTTACATCCCTTGCCCTAGCACAGATTTTACTTAAGTGTCATGTGTTATCTGGACCTAGTATTAAGTGAATCCTTATCCAAAAGGTTCTTATCAAATGTAAAGATACTGGGGAAATGAGCACTTTCACATCCACAGGACCTTATGTTTACAAACTAAAGGACAGTTGTGTTCCTATGCTATTATATTGATGAAAAAGAAAGTAAGTTAGATTTTTCTCTTTCTTACAATTATCTAGTACTTTATTAGCTACCTGCTCTACAGGTTACTGAGTGGAGACTTCTGCTTATCCAAGAGGTAGAAACTTACTGATGAAAAGTCACTGCTCATCTCCCCTGCCCCAACATGTGCAGTGTGTACAAAGTTCATTGGTTCTCCAATCATATTCCGGTCCAGTCTCCGACGCCTCTTCTGTAAGAAAGAAGGTATCTTAGGGTCTCTCTTCAGAAAACATGAGCAGCTTCCAGAGAGAAATAAGCAGCTGAGTTAAAAAAACAAAAAAAAGCTAGTAGTCACCCTTAAGGACAATCCATTAAGGCTGGGCTGAAGTTTCAGACTGTTTGCACTGAGCCACTTGTATTACTGTTAACTGAATTTAAGAAAAAACTGTTGCAAAGTCAGGGCCTGAGAAATGCCAACAGTCATTTGGCCAATGCTTCTGACAAAGCACACATAGTTTAAACACAATTCAACAGGTCCATTTTTAGCTTCTGCATTACTTAACCCAAAACAATTAGAAGAACATGACAAAGTGTTTTCCACATAACTGAAAGACAAAATTTCAAGTCTGATACAAGATGGCAGTTGTGCATCCACCTACCGTCTGGGGCTGTTCACCATTGCACCAATTAAAACAAACCAGGAATTCAGTCATTATCTTTTCCAGTAGCTAATAAGGTCTTGTTAAGTGTTTCTCTGGGAGTTAAAGCAGTACAAGGACCAAGATGCGGTTCCTGAAGTGAGTTTAGGAAGGAATTGCTTGTGCAGATTCACTGGTAAAGAGCACAGAAAACATGTGAGAAGCACACCTGCAAAAGGATTGTTTTTTAAGTTTATACTAAAACATATCAAAGTCTTGTAACAGTTATTGAGCAATAGACATTCCAGAGAACTAAAACAAGACTCTTGAACATACCTGGACAGAAGAGTAGCATCAACTTAAAATCAGGATCTTGATGTCAGAAATCAGGGTTAAAAACTCTGCACATTTACTCCCAGACAGACCGTACGGTAAGTTCTGGTTTCTTTCCAGAAGTGTAATAAAAGCAATGCTAGAATTAAGTCCGGGAGCATTGGCAGAGCTGGCCAGTGCTCATCAACTACTCAGCATTTGGAAAATAAATAAATAAAAGCTTTGAAGCAGAACAGATTGAATGCTTAACATCTACAAACAGGTTCAAAGGAAAGTTTCCTTCTTCCATCTGATACAGTTCCCTTCTTAGACATAGAAAAGCTCCCAGTAGAGAGTATTCTGCAACTCCAAAAAGCCCGTAAAAAAGAAAAAGAGCTTTGTATATCAGAAACAGAAACCAAAGAGAACCCAGAGCTTCCCAGAATGTATAAAACTATTATAAATGCAGCACCCCTGAACTGGAGACACCACTAGGTAACTCACTGACTTGAAATGCTCTGAAGCTATGACAAAGAAACAACTTTTTAGTGGTTACTGACTTTTTAAAATTAAGTGTCTTCCTTCAAACCACACCCAGGGCTACAGAGTAGCCTTTCATATCTACTTTTCCATACCCCAGATCATTTAAACAAGATCATAACATGATAATTTATGAAGAAGGTGTTTTTCTGAAGCTTACAGCCTAAGAGAAGTTACAGCTTCATCAATTCAGCTTTTATCAACCCCCACTGGAGTCTTCACAACCAAACAGCACAAGCTACCCCCTTCACAGACATTTTTTTATGTAGTCCCACAATCACGTATTTAACACATATATTTCTTTCACATTTGTGGTTTTCTTATACTTCATCACTTCTTACACTTTTAGCAGTTTTAATTTCTGCCATTTATCTTTCAAAGCATTTGCTATGTTTGCCTCAGCTTTAGGTATGATTGCAGAACACGTCATGTATCATTCCATTTAATCCTGGGTGGTTTTAATACAACTCACCATCTGGCTCAATAATTTTTCACCTCACCCTCTCACAACAGTCTTTATCACCACCAATGCCTTGTTTGGGTGCAGCAAGGAAGGGACACAACCATAAGGATACACAGAAGCTGAAGCCTTTGCCTGCACTTCACATTAGTTACATATTTTTGGGGGTTTATTTAATATTAAAGAGGCTGCATCAAAGCAAAGATTTTCTTAAAAATCATAAAGTGTGTCACTGTATGCATTTTGAAAATATGTCACTGACATATTTTGAAAGGAGGTGGACTGAGAGAAGCATCAAATTAGAGGAACATCCCCATCCCAGAATAATGGTTGAACACCCACTCTCTTCCCACCATACCCCCCAGCATCTGGACATCTACCTCCATGGGGCTCTGTGCATTCCTGGGTGTTTCCTGCTGCTCCCACGGGGCCCTGACAGGATGGTACGTCCTCATTCAAGTGCTGGCACGCAGCCAGCCCCCGTCTTGGCAACTCCAGCACATTTACAGCTCATATTCCTGGGTTATAATTGATCCTGATGGTAAAGCAAGAATGCTTCCCAGCAATCCCGGTCCCTGCGACGGATCCTTCACCCCGGGAAGCACTGCAGAAGGTTGTGGTGCTCCTCACACTTACCTACAGGTGTCTGAAAAGCAGAACGGAAACCAAAAATAGCGCCCTAGTTTGGCATCAGATCTGTGCAGCCGCACGGCGTTCCCAGCTCTCTCCATACAGCCTGTGGCTCACTTCCACCCCTGCGGCAGCTCTGCAGGCGTCCTCTGGCACACAGCAGCACTGGACATCTTCCTGTTGTGTTCTATAGCAGAGCCCTTCTTTTCCTCTGCATGAGTCAGAGTATCATCCTCCAGGACAGGGATGTCTGCAGCGGGGCATGGGACACCTCCTTCCTCTCAGAGACTCAAGGTTTCCACACTAACTGGAAGAATTTTAAAAACATCTTAGATGTGTTCAGGCTCACCCAAGATGAGTAAAAGCCAACAAGAATCCCCAAACTGAGCAGAAAACAACATTTTGTCACTGTTGGCACAAAGACCAGAACTGGACAATATCCTGTTGTTCTTTCTCTCTATTTTTCACCATAGCAGCAGCCTCATGGAGCAGAGGGAGACAAAGGGCCAGGGCAATGGCTAGCACAGCTGTCCCCTGCGATGGGCAGGATGCACAGCCCTCCTGCAGTTGCAGCCTTAAAGTGCCTGAGAGCTTTATTGAATGCTTAGATATATTTACATAGCGTAACATCTGATTTTTTTTCTATTACTGCCATGTTTTAAAAGGTATTAAAAGTATTATTTTATTGACAAAGTATCAGTTCTACAGGAAGTGGAAAATGCTTGCCTGAATCAATACACAAGAATTCTCCCTTTCCATAGACACGTGACATGCACTGTAATCTTGATCAATTATATCCACCATTCTGTTTCTTCACACAAGGGCTGATCGTGACAAATCCTTGACTCTGAGCCCTCAGTGAAATTAGTGTAGTTACCACGTACTGTCACACATCTGACACTGGCGACCATCACCCTGCCCCAACCAAGGTATTCCAGTGTGTCAACTTTCGAGTCCAGTTATTGTAGTTTTAATTCCAGCCCTGTCAGTACTGAACTGAGGTGAGAGAGGCATATTTCAGCCTAATTGCCTTTCTAAAAATCGCTTTGCTGCTAATTTGTTCATGACCTTACTTTGCTCATTTGCTATTTACACAATGTTAAATCCCTGAAACAGTTGAAAGTTTACATGTATGAATGGCAAGGTGTGGTGGAAAACAGTGGAGCTTGTATTTCTAGATAAAAAATTAATTTTGAGCCCAAAACTTGAAGAGTGCATCTTGCTTGGTGAAAGATGAAAAGAAAAAAAAACAACAAACAAACCAACAAAAACTAAGACTTTGGAAGAACCTTGGAGCCAAACAGCTGAAATCCTGCTGCAGATTGATCTTAACTGCCTGGGGAAAGCATCCTGTGTGAGATGTACCCCTCAAACTACATAAAAACACTATTATGTAGTTGGATTTTACAGTAGCCTTCTGTCATCCTGAAGCTTCACAGAAAGCAGAGAATACAGTTTTACCTGAGACCTCCATTAACCTAGGTGTGCTGACATTATTAATCTAAGGAATTTCAGTGTAGTCTGAGGAGATTTGAAAATTCCCTATTTAAAAAGTAAGTAGGCACACAGATTTTAGAAGAAATAACAAAAAACCCCAGATCCTCTATTGCAAAACAGAACCAAGATTAGTCATAAAATGAAAAAAAATGCATTTTTAACTAACTGCCCAACCCTTTCAAAGAAGAGCGACCAACCGATGTGTTACTTGGAAGGTAAAAATAATTGCACGAGAAATCCACCGAGACTTGCCTGGAGTCTCACCAGGAGAAAAATCAGTAAAACTCTCAAAAAGATGAGAAGCTGAATGGTTGGTAACACACCAACCACTGCTATTGTAAACATGTTGACCTGAGTTAATAGCTTGCAAATTACGGAATTGAATGTTACTAAGAATAAACTCGTATTAATGAAGGGGAAAAAGAAAAAAAAAAAGAAAAAGAAAAAGGCTGTGACTCTGAATGTATGTCTTCACAAAAGGGCAAAAACCTTGGCAAGAGGTGCAGTCCCCCAGGCGCTGCAGTC